GATGGGTCGAGAGGCGCGGCGGCGCCTGGCGGACGCGCGTAAGTGGGCGGCGGCGCGGGACGACGCGCGGGACGACGGAAAGACGTCGCGGGAGCACATGGAGGCGAAGAAGGCGCGAGAAATCGAGGCGTGGCGATCGACGCGCGCGCGCGAGGGCGTGGATGGGTCGACGAATCCGAATTTCGTACCCGTGGGGGATTGGCGAGCGAAGGTGGCGGCGGCGCGACGCGAGGCGAAACTCGAAGAGTTTCGCGCGCTTCGAGCGCGCGAGACGGCGACGGCGACGGCGTCGAGGGTGGAACATGAGGGTGAGACGCGAGTGAAATCCACCGAGGACGCGACGCTTCCGAGCGGTTGGCGCGCTTTCGTCGACGAGGCGTCGGGGGAGGTGTTTTACGGACACGTCGACACGAAGCAGACGCAGTGGGCGCGTCCGTCTTGTTGATGTCTCGAATCAGCGCTTCGTTCGCGGTTCATCGTTCCAGGTATTCATTAGCGGTGTGTGGGTGTTAGAAAAAACTAGTCTACGAGTCTACGCCTCCTCTCGCGCGGCGTCGTCCTCGCCCTTTTCCTCCTCCGCGCGTTCCTTTGCCCTCGGCGGTCGCGGCGCGTTTCCGTGATTCGCCTCTCGCGCGTGCGCGCGCTCTTCCTCGTTCATGGAGGCCATGCGCACGTTATACTTGAGTAGCTTTTCGTAATCCCTGACCACGGAGAGGCACGCGACGCCCTTGACGATCTCCACCAAAAAAGTCAAATCCGGGTCGCTCAGGTTCACCTTGTTCGGCGGTTGTTTGATTTGCGACGCCAGGCACTCGATCACGTCGTTCCTTCGCACGTCCCCATTCGCTCGCCGATCGAACGCGATCGCAAACGTCTGCTCCTTATCGCCCGCAAAGTGCTTCTCCACGAACGGTTTCGCCGCCTCGGCGATTTCATCCACCCCCGCGAAACACGTCGCGTCCACCGGCACCATTCGCAGCGCGTGTCTCGTTCGCGCCTCCCCGCTCGTCTTCGCCCGCATCAACTCCTCTCGAACGATATCCGCGACATCAAACGCATCCGTCACCTCCTTGGACGCCAACACGAACGTGCACGCGCGAAGATCCAAGGACACCTCTCGAAACGGCGCCTTCTTCGCCTCGTCCCGCAACGCGTTCAACTCTCGCTCCAGCGCCTCCGTCGTCGTCTCTCCCGCCGCCCGCCCATCACCCGCGGTCGTCTCCACCTCCGCGCCCCCTCGCGACGCCTTCATCGCCTCCCATCGCTCGGTGAGGTTCCGACACACGTCTCGCGCCGCCGCGCGTTCCTTCCCGCCGTCGCACGTCACGATCACCCCACGCGCGTCTCTCCCGAGCGCCGCGATCGCGGGTCCGCCCCCGCGATTAAACCATCTCGCCTTCTTCCGTCGCGTCGACCCGTCGCCCCGTCCCGCGTCGCGCGTTCGACGCATCGACCGACGCGTCGCGCACTCGCGGGTCGTGGCGTCGTTCGCATCATTCGCATCATTCGTCCACGCGCGCGCGCGCGATCGACCTCCGCGGTCGCGCGCGGGGACGATCGACGCGGGTATTTTATCTCGTTTGATCGCGCGCGTTTTCGACGCGTAGGGCCCGGAGCGCGGGCGCGAGGGTGGGATCGGTGACGAATCGTCGCGATCGGTGTCCATTCGTGCGCGTTCGTCGCGCGCGATGGACGACGCCGCGTCCGCTCCCGCGCTCACCGCGAGCGTGGTTCGGGACGTTATTTTACATCACATGGACGCGCGCGCGATCGGTGCGCTCGCGTCGACGAGCAAGGAGATGGAATCGATCACGCGGGCCGAGCGGCGATTCGCGCGCTTGCTCGAGACGCGCTTCGGCTCGTTCGGTGACGCCGCGAGCGGTGATTCGAGGACGACGCGAGGGATGTACGTCACGGTCGTGTCGGCGATCGAACGGTTACGCGATCGGTTGGGGAAGGAGGGGTGCGTGGAGGCGATGCGCGCGGCGACGCGGGCGGCGCACGCGTGCGAGGAATTCGCAGACGCGCGCGCGGCGCCGGATGGGTACGAGTACGTGGACGCGGAGTACGAAGACGTGAAGTGGGCGGATGCGTATGAATTTGAAAACTACGAGGCGTACGGGGCGAGGGGTGATCCAGGGGTGCGGGAGTTGGCGCAGACGTTGGCGTCAAAGTACTTTAACGCCGAGGAATACGAGACGGCTGTCATGGCGTTGATGACGTTTCGAGAGATCTTGGTGAAGACTCGAGGGTTCGGGTGTTTCTCAGATCCACCGAAAGAGGCGGATTTGGTGCGCTCGGGGATGCGTTTCGTCTTGCGCGCCGTGCCGAACGAGTACGGGCGAGCGATGTTGGCGCCGGACGGACTGTTTCATCGAGTGCTGCCGAATACCTGGGAAGAGCATTGTCGCGCGGCGCGCGAAACGTCGAGCCAATCGCGCGCGCGTTTCACGCTCGAAGAGCACGCCGAGTGGGCGTGCGACGCACACGGTGGCGCCCATGAAATTTGTCACGTCTACGCACCCCTGAGCGTCCTTCTTTTCACCGAGCCGAAAGCGAAATTATTTCCGCCGTGCGGCGTCATCGGGTTCGGACCGTATCCTCACGGCGGGCGTCCGAGGGCGGATCTCCAACGCAAAGTGCTCGCGGGTGGCGAGCCGACGAACGTGCGCGCGATGGATGGTACATACAGCGGATTTCGATATCCATGCGACATCGAGTCGGTCGGATTTGGATTCATGTCCCGCGAAACTTTACGCTTGGACGAGGACGACGTCGTGCGGTTCAGGCTGCAAATCAACATTCCCACCGGCTACGCGGTGGGGGATATGACAAAGGACGTCGCCGGTCCGAGGGCTAATGGGCAACGACAAGGCTGTTTTAAACATGTTTCACGAGACGAGCGACGCATCAGTGCGTTTCTCGAGGACGGTTTGGGGAAAATGAAGATGGAGGGCATCGTCTACGAGACCGAACACGGATTTCCCCGCCTCGTCCTTCGGGGTCGTTACGACGGAAATTTCTACCCTGGCGCGCTCGTCACCTTTTACGGTTCCATATCACCAACCTGCGTGAGTGGTTTCTGCCTTCGCGACGATGGCGCGTTAGGCGTGAGCGACGTCTTCACGTTCTGGCCCGTCTGACGTCGCAAAGGTTGAGCGATGCGAAACTTTCGTCACGAGGCGCCGGCGCTGAGCTCCACGACGTCGTCGCCGTAATCCGACGCTTTCGCGCGAGGGAGCGTGAGCGTCTTCGCCCAAAACTCCATCAACGCCCTGGTTTCCTCGACGCTCGAGACCATGGCGTGCGTCTTATCAAACTCTCGAACGTCGGCGCCGCAACCGGGATGTCTTCGCGTCAGCGCCGCCGCCGTCTCCCGCACGCGCTCGATCGGTACGACCTCATCTCTCGTTCCCGCGACGAGCATCACGGGCGTAGGCGCTTCATCGCACATCTCTAACCGCTCCGGCTCCGGCAGCGCCGCCGCGACGACGGCGCACGATCCCAACCGTTCCCGTCCCGTCATGCGCGCCGCGACGTCCAACGCCACCGCGCCGCCGTCCGAGAATCCAAACACGTGCACGCGACTCAGCTCCCACCCACACGCGTCTCGCAAATGTCTCAACGCCCGTCGAACCGCCCTCGACGCGCGCGCCAACTGCCCTCGACGCGTCTCCGCGCTCGCGCCCTCATCCGCCGAGACGACCCATCGTCGAAGCTTTCGCCCGTCCGTCCCATCGTCCTCGACCCCCCGCGCGTTCAAAGTCCCCCCCAGAGACCACACCACGGTGCTCGGGAGGTTCACAGCGCGTCCGAACCGCTCGAACCCATCGGGGTGGTCCAAATCCCCGTGCAACAGCACCAGCGCGTTCATCGCCGCGCCCGCGCTCGACGTCCACGCGCGCGCGTGTGGGAACACCGCGTGCGGGCCCGCGTGCGCGCGCGCGCCCGGTGCGCGTCGTCCGTGCGCGCGCTCGCCCTCGGGCGCGTCCGCGGTGGCGTTGAGAAATCCCCGTCGCATGATGTCGTTCGGCATCGCGCGAGAGCGTCGCGCGCCATGGCGTCCAAGGGCGCGCACGCGCGCGGGACCGACGGAAGCGATCACGCCCATCGTCACCGCGTGGTCGATCGCTATCGACGAAGCGCGCGAGATCGACGTCGGGCGCGAGCGTTGCTGGTGATCGATGGGACGATCGCGATCGCGATGGCGTCGCTCACGGCGTTGGCCGTCGCGTGGCGGGACGGACGCGGGACGGACGCGCGCGCGATGGACGCCATGGTGACGTGCGCGATGATCGCGGTGCTGGCGTTTCACGGGGCGACGCGAACGGGGGATAAGAGAGATTTGAAGGCGACGCGGCGGAGCGCGCTCGCGGCGCTCGCGTGCGGGACGTGGCGGTCGGGACGCGAGCTCTGGGCTCGGTTCGTCGGCGCGAATGAACGCAACGCGGTGTCGTGGACGTGGAGTGAGGGAGCGAGCGTGTTGGTGGAGAAGGCATTGGGGGTGTCGGTGAAACCGGGGATGTTTTATCCGGCGTTCGTCAACGCGGAGGTGCTGTGCGAGCTCGCGTTCGTCGTGCTTCCGCTCGGCGCGCACTTGATGTGCGTCGGGATCGATCATCAGTCGAAGAAGAAGGAGAGGTAGAGAGGTAGAGATGTACGTGTGATTACGCCGGGATGTGGTGTTCGCGCGCGATATCGCGTCGTCGTCTAGGCGGCCGCGGAGGCGGACGTTCTCGCCGTCCACGCGCGAGGCGCGCGGAGCGTCTCGACGAGTCGAGCCTCCTCCGTGCCAACTTCCGTCTTCACGTCGTAGTCCCATCGAACGCGAGGAGGCGCGCTCACCATGATGGCTTCGATGCGCCCTCCGTCCAGACCGAATCTCACGCCGCGGTCGTACAGGAGGTTGAACTCGATGTATCGGCCGCGGCGCTGGTGGTGCCATCGCTCCTGGGCGGCGCCGTACGGTTCGTTTCGTCTTCTATCGACAATCGGGAGGTACGACTCCAGCCACTCATCCGCGATCGCACGTGTGAACGCCTCGGCGTCGGTGACGCCGCGAACGCGCGCGGCACCGTCGGATCCGTCCTCCAAATCGTCGAAGAAGACGCCGCCGACGCCTCGATGCTCTCGTCTCGCCGGAATGTAAAAGTACTCGTCACACCAATCCTTACACGCGTCGTACACCCCGCCCTTTGCCGCTCCACCGTCGTGCGCATCGCACACGCGTTCGTACTTCTCGTGAAACTCCCTCGCATCGTCGTCGAAGAGATAATACGGCGTCAGGTCGGCGCCGCCGCCGTACCACGCCTTTCCGCCCACTCGAAACCTGCGAACGTCCGCTCGAAATGTGGGCACCATGGGCGAGCGCGGATGAAACACCAGAGACAACGCGCACGCCTCGTACGATTGTCCACCGTTCGCGTCGATCTCCGCCCGTCCTCGACTCGACATCGCAAGCGCGCGCTCCCGCGTCAGCGTCCCGCGAATCACGCTCACATTCGCCGCCGCCTTCTCGAACACGTCTCCACCCTCGAGGACGCGCGTGATCCCGTACCCATCGGAGGTGTTTCCACGACTCCACGCGTCCTCACAAAACCGCGCTCCGGACCCATCGACGCGCTCGAGGGCGTCGCAGAGCTCTCGCTGCTTATCCAACAAAAAGTGCTCGAACGAGTCCAATTCGACGCCTCGCGCGCTCGACGCGCTCGCGCGCGATGAACGAGGGGGGATGTTTCGATACTCACGTCGTCTCGACGTCGTCGTCGCGCGCGAGGTCGCGAACGCGCGGGACATGGGCGTGAAGACGCGTCGCTCTGTGACGCGCTCGGGACGGGCGCGCGGAGAGAAGCGCGGCGTCGCTCGACGGATCCCTCGTCCGCGTCTCAGGGCCACGGGTCTGATCTCCCACTACACGCACACACATCTAATGTACATCGATCGCTCGTCGTCCGATCCCTCTCACCGTCGACGCATGACGACGTCGTCCACGTCGTCCGCGGTGAACTGTCCCGGCAGGCGCTCGAAACGGTCGTTAAAGATCGAGTACGCCGACGGCTCTCCCGGTCGACGTCGACCGAGATTCATCACGATGAGCGCGAATCCGGTGAAGAGGACGTACGGCGGCGCGAGGTCTCTCGCGCTCGCTTGCCGCAATCCGAGCCACCACGCGACAGCCTCCAACGCGGGCGCGCGCGCGAGCGCGTTCGCCGTCCACCTCGACAATCCGCACCGTCGCCTCAGGAACGTCTCCACCCGCCTCCGTCGTCCTCGAAGCTCCACCACCGCGTCATCGTCCTCGGTGTCGTCCATCACCGCGCGCGTGGACGTCGACGTCTTCTCCCCGCCCGTCTCCGTCCGCCGCCCGCCGCGTCGCTCCACCGTCACGACGTCTCCCTCCGCCACCCGCCGAAGCCGTTCGCTCGACGTCACCACCTCTCCCGCGTGCGTGATCACGAACGCGCGCGCCGCTTCGCCTCGCGGCAACACCGCGCGCACGGCGTCGAGGAGCGCGGCGTCGCGCACGAGCGCACGTTCGCCATCCGCTTTCGCGTCCGCGTTCGCGTCGCGCGACGTCGTTTCCACGCGCACGCGCGCGCGGGCGAGATCACCCTCGAGCGCGCCTCGGTGGGACGCGCGCGCGACGACGGTGACCGCCATCGCGCGCGCGGACGCGGTGCGATGGCGTCATTCGCGCCATGGCTGGACGGTTGAAAATTCTCCTCGCGCGTCACTCGCGCGCGCGCTCGAGGGCGCGTTCGCTCGAGCGCGACCGCGACGGCACCGCGAGGGCTTTCTCGAGCGACGACGCGGGCGAACGGCGCGAACGGGGCGGTTGGAGAGGCGACGTGTGCGAGTGACCCCGCGGCTCGAGGACGAATGAACGATCTGTCGCGACGCGCGGAGAGCGATGCGACGACGAGAGCGCGAACGATCGGTCGAGAGGAGGAGAGTGATTTAGGCGCGGATCGCTTGTTGGTGGACGTGGCGAATTACGTGTGCGGGTACGAGATCAAGTCGAGAGACGCGGTGAAGACGTGTCGATTTGCAATTTTGGATTTCATCGCGTGCGCGTTGCGAGGCTCGTGCGATCCGTCGTGCGCGAAATTGTTGGGACCGATCGTTCCGGGAATGTCGGTGACGATCGGTGCGCACGTTCCGGGGACGGAGTACTACGTCGATCCGGTGACGGCGGCGTTTAATTCGACGACGTGCGCGCGGTGGTTGGATTACGGCGACGCGTTTTACGGCGCGGAGTGGACGCATCCGAGCGATGTCATCGGGGCGGTGCTCAGCGTGAGCGAATACGTGAGTCGATTACGTAACGAGCGGGGGTTGAGCGTGCTGAGCATGCGAGACGTGATTGTGGCCACGATCAAGGCGTACGAAATCGTCGGCGTGTTGGCGCTGGAGAACTCCTTCAACCAAATCGGCGTCGATCACGGCGTGCTCACCAAGGCCGCGGTCGCGGCCGTGACGACGTCAATGCTCGGCGGAGGGAGATTAGAGGTGATGTACGCCACGTCGCAGGCGTTCATCGACGGCTCGGGGTTGAGATGTTTTCGGCACTACCCGTGCGCGGGCACCAGAAAGGGATGGGCCGCCGGCGACGCCGCGGCTCGGGGCGTGTCGTTGGCGCTGATGACGATGCGAGGTGAGATGGGCTACCTGTGTGCTCTCAGTGCGCCTGTTTGGGGCTTCAACGACGTCTTCTACAGACGCCAAGACATCGTGCTCAAACGAGATTTCGGAGAGTTCATCATGGAAAACGTTGTCTTCAAGCCGTCGTTCCCGAGCGAGATCCACGCGCAGACAGCGATCGAGGCTTCGTTCCGATTACATCCGCAGATCATTCACCGCGTGGACGAAATTCACTCCATTGCAGTTCATACCACACGTAGCGCGGTTCGATGCATCGACAAAACGGGCCCGCTCAGCGGGCCGGCTGATCGCGATCACTGTCTGCAGTACGCCGTCGCCGTGGCTCTTCTGTACGGTAACATGACGTCCGATCACTACGAAGACTCCGTGGCGAGCGATCCGAGGGTCGATGAGCTGCGACGGAAAATTTTGATCGCGGAGAATCCTCAGTACAGCGCCGATTACGTCGATCCCGATCGACGCTCGTGCGCTAACTCGGTTCAGGTGCACTTCAAGGATCGCACGAGCACAAATAAGTTTGAGGTGGAGTATCCCATCGGACATCGGCGGAGACGAATGGACGCCTTTCCAGCCCTGGAAAAGAAATTCATTTCGTCACTGCATAAGAAGTTTCCACCTGAGCGCGCTGGATTCATCTTTGAGCGCGTCACCGACGCGCAGGTGTTCGACGCCCTGACGCCGATGGACTTCATGGAGTTGTTCAACGCGACGCCGCATCCCGTGCTTTTACCTCCGATGCGCGCGGCGCCCGGCGTATTCGACTACACACCCATAGATAATCGCGCTTCCACACTAGGACTCCGTCTCACGGACGGAAACAGTGCGCGCGCGGTCGAAGCTGAGGCGGTGCAACAACCGTAGTGCGCTCGCTCGACAACACCGAGATTTTTGTAGTAGTCATTCGAACGCTTAGAGGCCTGTGGAATGAGCTGAGGATGGAATCGACGAGAAACGAATACACGGGGAAGTCGCGGGTAGTAACTTAGACGAAAAGAATGAAGAAAATCCACGAAATGAAATTTCAACTCAACTGAGTGCACCGGCTCTTACGCGGCAGTGACTCCTCCCCTCGCTAACTCTGTTTTAAGCTAAGCATGGACGTCGAACCGAGGTATTTAACCTTGGATTTGGCGCTTGTCAACGGCGCACGCCGCACCGGAGGCCGGGCGGTACACCAAGAAGCCAGCGCATTGGACTTGCTTGATGTTGTCGAAGCCGACAACGCGGATGTAGCAGTCCGGGAAGCACTTCTTGGCCATGTTGACTTCGGCGAGCACCTCGTCGGTGTTTTGGCAGCCGTACATGGGGAGCTTCCACATAACCCAGTAGCGGTTGTCGTAGTACAGGGAGTTGATGGAAGAGTCGAGGTTGGACCAGCCGTGGCCGTCAGCGTAGGCGTGCTCGGCATCTTCGAACTCGATGCACGGAGTCCAGCCGTTGTTGAGCAAGTATTGGCACTGCTTGGCGATTTCGGCGTCGGAGAGCGGCGGCAAGAAGGAGAAGGTCTCGAACATCCTGAGAGAGAAGGAAAAGAAAATAAGCCGTCAGTAAAAGGGGTTCCAAATTAATCTTTCGTCGCGTCTTTCACGTTCGCGACGACCATCCGAGGCACGCGGACGACCCGACGGGACGTCTTTCCCAAAACACCCGCGACCGTTGCGCCCCCCTTCCGGACCCCCCTCCCCATCGCGCCCGTTCGTGGTACGCGCCGTCCACGCGCGTCGGCGAAAGCGACGTCGAACGTCGAAGAAAAAAACGCTTCTTTCGATTTTGTGCACCGCGCACGTTTCGAGATCGACGCTCGCCCGTCGAGGCTTCTCCAAGGAATATCCATCGAAGCGCCGTCTCGGGATGTGTGCATCGCTCTTTGCGTTCGCGTTCGCGTCGTCGACGACGTACTTGTTGCCGTGCGGGCGCCAGATCATCATGGACTTGGCGTTGGCGACCTTGCCGGTGGAGACGGCGACGGTCTTGGCGACTTGTTGAACTTGGGCGACGGCGGACATCGTTGACGCGTGTATGAGTGCGGGACACGGGCCCTCGACCTCGGGCGCTCCGGTCGCGGATCGCTCGAGGGGTGATTTTCTTTCGGGGTGTTTTTTGTGAGTCATGAGGTCATGACTCGTACATGCCATACTCGTGCGCTTCAATCACGAATCACGCGAGAAGACGCCGTATTTCCACGAATTTTCTTCCATAATAATTTCAAAAGAACCCAAGCCACGGTGACCGCACGCGCGATCGCGCGGTCGCGGGGCGCGCACCTTATCCATATGGTTTCGTTGGGTCGTGACTCGTGAAGATGGACACAATCAAGGGGTGCGTCTGCGCCGCAAAATCTGCGGCTCACACGAGGCGATCGCGCGCGTCGTCCCGCACTCATACACGCACACAATGTCCGCCGTCGCCCAAGTTCAACAAGTCGCCAAGACCGTCGCCGTCTCCACCGGCAAGGTCGCCAACGCCAAGTCCATGATGATCTGGCGCCCGCACGGCAACAAGATGTTCGAGACCTTCTCCTTCTTGCCGCCGCTCTCCGACGCCGAAATCGCCAAGCAATGCCAATACTTGCTCAACAACGGCTGGACTCCGTGCATCGAGTTCGAAGATGCCGAGCACGCCTACGCTGACGGCCACGGCTGGTCCAACCTCGACTCTTCCATCAACTCCCTGTACTACGACAACCGCTACTGGGTTATGTGGAAGCTCCCCATGTACGGCTGCCAAAACACCGACGAGGTGCTCGCCGAAGTCAACATGGCCAAGAAGTGCTTCCCGGACTGCTACATCCGCGTTGTCGGCTTCGACAACATCAAGCAAGTCCAATGCGCTGGCTTCTTGGTGTACCGCCCGGCCTCCGGTGCGGCGTGCGCCGTTGACAAGCGCCAAATCCAAGGTTAAATCTCTTCGGTTTGCGCCGTCGACTTGACACGTTCAGTGACAGTGGTTCAGAAAATTTCGACAGACGCGTGTCTTTCGACGCGTCGTCAACGGGCCTCGCTTTAGATTTTCCAGAGTGTAATCCCTGTGCGGAATTCTTTATTACTCACCCCACCTCTGCGCGTCCGAGCGCGAGCCCCCTTCGCGCCGCGGACGATCGGTCTCATTCGCCGGAGTCGTGAACCGCCGTCGGACCCGCGTTGGCGCGATCCAAAATTTCCGAGTCACTAAATCGAGATCTCCCTCGTGCGGCGCACGCGGGTGATTGAAGGGGTCACGCTATAGGCAAACAGTATGATTGTACATCAAGCCAGGCCCCCTTTTCGGACAATTTTATTCATGGGAACCGAATATGATGTACGATCATATACTTTGTGTCATGTCAAACGAACCACCCCATCGAGATAGTTGATGCGGGTCGAGCCAAGTCGGAGAGGTTGAGCGGACGACCCCTGTCGACCACATACACGCACGCAGCAAAGATGTCCGCCGTCGCCCAAGTTCAACAAGTCGCCAAGACCGTCGCCGTCTCCACCGGCAAGGTCGCCAACGCCAAGTCCATGATGATCTGGCGCCCGCACGGCAACAAGTACGTCTCTCGAAAGATTAAAGCACACGCGCGCGGATGTGTCCTCGCGATCACTCGAGCCTCGCGGCCGTGGGTTTACCCTCGCCTCGCGCGCGCTTCTTCGCTTTGATTCGGACGACGAGCCGTGAAGGTGATGGGAAATATTCCTCTCAATCAATCACGCGCTCGTTGACACGATCGAGCGACGTCGCGCGCACGTCGGTGGATCGATGGGCTTGGATGGATAGGTCCCCGATCGCCGTCGTGCGATCGGGGTCTCGCTCGCCTTCGTCGCTCTTCATTCCGCTCTATCGTCGTCGGCGAAGGAGAAAACGATGCGTAATGAACTTTTACGTCTGAGTCTTCTTTTTCTTCCAGCGCGAGCGGCGACGACGAAGAGGTCGACGCGACGTCCAACCAGATCATCCGATCTGACCCACCCGGGAGAAACCCTGGTTTGTGAACAAGTTTGGGTTGGGATGGGTCTTATTACAGTGAGGAGACAGGGCGACGCAGTCTCCGAGGTGACGAACAAGCTCGAGAGTGCGATAAAACGCACGAAACACGATGACTGACGGCTTATTTTCTTTCTCTTCTCTCTCAGGATGTTCGAGACCTTCTCCTTCTTGCCGCCGCTCTCCGACGCCGAAATCGCCAAGCAATGCCAATACTTGCTCAACAACGGCTGGACTCCGTGCATCGAGTTCGAAGATGCCGAGCACGCCTACGCTGACGGCCACGGCTGGTCCAACCTCGACTCTTCCATCAACTCCCTGTACTACGACAACCGCTACTGGGTTATGTGGAAGCTCCCCATGTACGGCTGCCAAAACACCGACGAGGTGCTCGCCGAAGTCAACATGGCCAAGAAGTGCTTCCCGGACTGCTACATCCGCGTTGTCGGCTTCGACAACATCAAGCAAGTCCAATGCGCTGGCTTCTTGGTGTACCGCCCGGCCTCCGGTGCGGCGTGCGCCGTTGACAAGCGCCAAATCCAAGGTTAAATTTTTTTAACCTCGCGCGCTTTCGCATCTGTTTGCATGACAGTTTATTTGTTCTCCTCATAACTTTTTTCATGAGAGCTATTACATACTACTACCACGAGCGCGCCTCGACACGATCGCTCCCTTCTCGCTAACTCCAAAGCTTCGCCGCATCTATCGTCATCATCGTCATCGAAGCACTCCTAACGATGCGTCGGCGCGCGAACACCATGTCTGCATCCCGCAGGCGCCTATCTCGTGAGATGTTGATGCCGACGAAGGATCTTTTTCGAGACAACGACGTAGTCCTAGCGTCAGTGTACGTTTGCGTTCCGCGTATGTGAACTTGAATACGAAAGGTTCGACACCGGCGTCGACAAAGGCGAAGCTGGGCTCTGTTTTCACCGTGGCGCTCGAGGACACGAAGCTTTCCATGCGGGCGACGTCTCGAAGCTTCATCACGTCCAACTCCTCTTCGCTCAGCTGTTCCGCTGTGAGTGGCTTATGATTTAACCAAACGTTCACGAGAAAAGTAATGCGCTTTCGCGATTGCGTCGGTGTTCGAGAAAACTCGCTCGGAGCGCCGTGCAAAAGCTTCCCATCAAAAGTGATTTGTTTTCCCCACTCGGGCCATGAAATCGAGCACGAAGAAATGTCACCGCACACGCCGACGTCACCACTGTCTCCATCGTATTCAACCTCGGTCGGTCTATCCACCACGACCGTCGGCGCACCGCCGTCGCAAAAGTACGTCACCGTTCCCAGCTGTGGGTGGACGTTCACCCCGCTCCCCTCGAGCGCGTAGTCCTTATCCCAGTGCCATCCGATCTCGTCCTCGTCGTCGATGACTTGCGTCCACCACTCCGCTCCCGACGTCTCGGGATCATACGTCAGCCGCGCGTCCTCCTCTCCTCCGGATTCTTCGCTTTTCCTCATCGCCTCTCGCGTCGCTCGCCGAAACGTCTCCAGCGCGAGCGCCTCGAGCACGCACCTCGGATCGAACGCAGCGCTCGCGCTCGCCCAAAAAGTCTTCCCTCGAGAGTACGCGGACTTCGATCTTCTCTTCTTCGCGCTGTGCGCGGAGACGAGATCGCGGAGCAAATCATCGAGCTCGCGCGCGCGGAATCCGCCCCTCGCGACGAATCCCGAGGTCCACGTCGTCTCGTACGTCAACCATCGATTCAGCGCGCACGCGACGCGTCCGCGCTCATCCAGCGCTAAATCCAAAGAAGACGAACTCTCGCACGCATCTCCCTCGGAATCGCTCGCCTCGGAATCGCTCG